AAATCGCTGCTCATGCGCTGCCTCTGTCGGCAGCGCTGCCCGCAGCTGTTGTTGTTGTTGCTGCTTTGGTTTAACTTTGTGCTGCATACATACACGCATATAAACACGCATAGGTACGTGATGTAAATGTATGCTGTTTAATCTGAACATAAACATGTATTCTAATTTAATTTAATTAATTATTTTAATTAATTAATTCATTCATTTTTTTAATTTTTTTTAAATTTTTTTTTTATTTTTTTTTAAATTTTTTCTTTTTGTGGAGAGTACAGGCTATTTTACTGTCGGGCTTGCTCGACTGTAGCGTTCTATCTTGTTTTTATATAGTTCATTGTACTTTTGACTTTTTTCCATAATTTCTCTAGCCTTGGACCTACTTTCAATAAGATTTCTATTTTGTTTTCTGTCGTCTAGCTGTTCTTTTAAGAAGTCTATGATAATTCCTCTTTGACTTACTCCGAATAATAACTCACTTGGGGTGGTGCCCGTGATTTTGTGCAAAGTGTTGTTTAAGGCAAACTCTATTTCTGGAAGTATATTATCTAATGATTTTGTGGTTCCAGCACTTGTCAATTTAGCCAACATTGGTCCTAAACATTTATTAATGTATTCATGCCATAAACGGCATGGATACAGGAATAAAAGAAGCAGATATAGTATGGGCTAGGATAGTTTTAAGAAAATTCGATAGGGCAGGACTACAACAGTATGAACAGTACACTAGGAGAACAAAAGAAATCCAAACCTTAGAAGAGGTTTTGGAGTTTCTCGAACAATACAAACAATGCAAACAAAGACATTCAAACAAAAGGTTTTTGAAGAACCGTTCAGGAGTTATCCAAAAGAAACAAGTAGGAACTACCCACAAACAACATGCCCATATTGGAAACTTATAGGACATCCATTAGATTGCAAAGGCATCAACAACAACGATCCTTGCAATCCTTGCGATCCTTGGCTGGAGTCTCAAACTCACTGATAAATATAAAAATTAGGCCAAGATTTCCTAGCCCAGTGGTGATTGAGTCGGAAGCATTAGTAATGCCTCGGATATTAAATCCACAACCACAATCTAGCTTCGAATATAACAAAAGCCAAAGGCAGAATGAAATGCTAGCAGATCCGCTATTTAATAAGAAAAGTAGGATCGACATTTTGATAGGCAGCAATATGTTGCCAGAAATAATAATGCAAGGAGTAAGACAAGATGGGTCTATCCTAGCACAAAAAACGAACTTAGGATGGATTTTATCAGCGCCAGTTAAAACCCCACAGGCAGATAGAATAGAAGCCGTAACAGTGAACTTAGAAAAGTTTTGGGAAGTCTCAAAGAAAGCTACTGAAGAGATAGATGTTCCTAAGTTTGATGTTATAAATGAAGTCTCAGAAAAGGCCTTAAAGGAAACGATAGAGTTTCCTAAATTTAGGTGTTTTTGGAAAGTGCCAAAAGAAAAGACTGAGAAAGAAGGCAACTTCAATCATTGTGAGGAAATAGGCACACAATTAGCCTCTTTCGAATTGGAAAAGTCCTCTGAGCCCATAGTAGCTGTTCACAAAGGTGAACATAGTTTTAGTCGCCAGCTACAGTTAGGTTTGCCCTGCGCAAGATGTTCACAAAAGTGAACAAGAGCTCAGAAGTTAGCATAGGGAGCACAAGCAGTAGGTAGGCTAAACAACAAATCTCGGTCTAAAAATAGCCGCATGCAGGTACAGACCAACGCATAGTAGGTAACAAGGACCATGCATAGGCAAATAGGACCGCGACAGCGTTTAAGGGTGGGTGCACACTGCGTTTAAGAAAGGCTTGGAATATACATATGGAGGGGAAATCCACTTGACACCGTTAGGATGGAATAAGACGAAAAATGTAAAATTAGAGTAAGTACAATGTTTAGAAAATAAGAAAGTGTCAAATATTGAATTATAAGGAAAAACCTAGTAAATAAGACAAAAATTGTATAAATACTGAAGGAATTTCAGAAATAAAATCAGAATGAAATTGGAAATTTAAGCATTAGTTTGTTTCCTTTTTTGTTCTCTCATAGATGCTCTACACGGCACAGAGGCTACACTCTGATAGTGAATAGTTTCTAGCTGTATAGCAAGGAACTATTTACAGTGTCTCGTATTTTTTTTTTAGATTTTTTGCACCTGTTTTTTAAACTAGCCTTTTCACTTTCTTCGTCTGAATTGTAAGATTCATATTCTGACTCAGGTTTAGGATTTCCTATATCTACTATTGATCCTTTGATTGATTTTGTTGGTTCACCAGCTTCGACTTCTTTTACTACATTTTGCGCTACATTATCTTTCTTTTCTAATATTGGTTTAGTATTCCTATTTCCTGATTTTATTCTTCCCTTACTTGACATTGTCTTTTCTTTTTCTTCTTTTTTATCTAATTTTTCACTCGCTTTATCTGACATATAATATTCTGTTTCTTCCTCTGAATCTGGCTTTTCACTTACTTTTTCTGACATATAACTTTCAATTTCTTCCTCTGAATCTGACTTTTCACTTACTTTTTCTGACACATAACTTTCAATTTCTTCCTCTGAATCTGACTTTTCACTTACTTTTTCTGACATATAACTTTCAATTTCTTCCACTGAATCTGACTTTTCACTTACTTTTTCTGACGTATGATTTTCCATATTCATCCATGGTTTCATATTGGCTCCCAGATTCTTTTGTAAGGCACCTGTGCTAATTGAAATCCTTCGACATATGATACAACATATCTGTTATTTGGTAGTATATCATTAACTTTGTACGGTCCTATATATTTTGGAATTATTTTTTTTGCATGCTCCGGGTATGCTTATAAAATTTTTTAAATTTTTTTCTATATTTTTTATGGATTCTACGTTTGTTTTTATAGCCTGTACCCAAAGGGTGAAAGGCTATACTAGTTTTGTGCGCATGTATGTAACACACAGAAGGAGGCGTGGCAGACCCCACAAAGTATATATATTCTTGATCAGGATGAGAAGACGAGTCGATATAGCCATGTCCGTCTGACCGTCTGTCCGTCTGTCTGTATGAGCGCAAGGATCTCAGTAAGTACAAGAGCTAGGATAACCAAAATTGGTATCATGGTTCCTATAACCCCTAGGCAGAACGAGTTTGTTTATTTTTTCTGATACACCCCCCACTCCCCCGCAATTCGTATTTTTTCTTATAACTTCCGTAATTCTCGGAATTTAAAAATCAATTTTGGTAGGTACATCCAGTTAGTACTAATGTGTCCGTGTGCTAAATTTCATCATTATAGGTCAATTCTGAAGAAAGTTATAGCCATAAGTAAAATCGCTGCTCATGCGCTGCCTCTGTCGGCAGCGCTGCCCGCAGCTGTTGTTGTTGTTGCTGCTTTGGTTTAACTTTGTGCTGCATACATACACGCATATAAACACGCATAGGTACGTGATGTAAATGTATGCTGTTTAATCTGAACATAAACATGTATTCTAATTTAATTTAATTAATTATTTTAATTAATTAATTCATTCATTTTTTATACCCTGTACCCGTAGGGTAAAAAGGGTATATTAGGTTTGTGCAAAGTATGTAACATACAGAAGGAAGCATCTCCGACCCCATAAAGTATATATATTCTAGATCAGCATGACGAGAGAAATCGATCTAGACATGTCCGTCCGTCTGTCCGTCCGTCTGGATGAACGCGAGGATCTCAGAAACTATAAAAGCTAGAATAACCAAAGTTGGCATCCAGCTTCTCCTAGGTCCGAGTAAGGACGAGTTTATGTTTTTGTTTTTAATTTTCCCCCCCTTCCCCCGCTACAGAATTTCGTCAATAGCGTCCACATTTCAAATGCTACCTAAACCAAACTTTGCACACATAATTAATATATAATTGTCTACTGTTGTATAAAATTTTATTCAATTTGGTCAATTCTAAGAAAAGTTATTAGCAAAACAAATTCTCCCCAGTACAACCCCCACAAACTGCAGCAACAAGTTCGCTCTTCTTCTTCCTCTTTTTGCTGCTGCTATGGGCGCATATAACTCAGTGACGGAAGTTTACCTGGGTACAGGGTATTACACTGTCGGGCTTGCTCGACTGTAGCGTTCCCTCTTGTTTAATTTTCTTTTAATTTTTTTTTTAAATTTTTCCTTTTTGTGGAGAGTACAGGCTATTTGCTTGCTCGACTGTAGCGTTCTATCTTGTTTTTATATAGTTCATTGTACTGTTGACTTTTTTCCATAATTTCTCTAGCCTTGGACCTACTTTCAATAAGATTTCTATTTTGTTTTCTGTCGTCTAGCTGTTCTTTTAAGAAGTCTATGATAATTCCTCTTTGACTTACTCCGAATAATAACTCACTTGGGGTGGTGCCCGTGCTTTTGTGCAAAGTGTTGTTTAAGGCAAACTCTATTTCTGGAAGTATATTATCTAATGATTTTGTGGTTCCAGCACTTGTTAATTTAGCCAACATTGGTCCTAAACATTTATTTATACGTTCCACTTGTCCATTCGCTTGTGGAGAACCTGTTGCTACTTTTATGTGTTTTACGTTGTTAGCCAATAAAAATTCTTCGAAATCCTTTGAAGTGAATGCACTTCCACGGTCAGAAACTATAGTCTTGGGTCTGCTATATGCTTTGAAATAATCGGATAAATGTTAAATTGTACTTTTAGAGTCCGTAGATTTTGTTTCATACAGTTTAACAAACTTCGAAAAGGCATCCACTGCTAGTAGTACATGTCTTTTTTGTCCTTTTTGTGTTTTTATGGGAACTTTGTTATTGCATTGTATACTTTTTCACACTCTCTGTGTCCCATTTGGTCATGATAAAGTGTTAAAATGTTTCGTTCCATATTATTAGGTACATAAAATAGTATTCTGCCTTTGAATTTGCGGAAAATTAGTCCGTTTCTCATTTCATACAGATTGCTTTCTTTTTCTTCTAATTGTTTGCGTATGTTGCATATAACCGTGTCCTCGTTTTGACAAATGGAAAGATTTTGTTCAAACGTATTCTCTTTTATTTATTCTCTTTATTTTATTACTCCAATGATTATAAGTTTACTTTTATTTATTCCGTAATAATTTTGAACAAAAGAATAGTCTTCAATAAGTTTCTTGGGTACCTTCTCCTCACATATTAAACTGATAGGGCTTCCAGTGTCAATTAGTGTTTCTAAAGGGTGTTTAATGATGTCATTAGTATTGTTGATAAATAAGTACTCTATAAGTCTTACATACTTTGTTGCTGGTTTTCATATTTTCTCGTAGTTCCAAGTCGTTGCGTTTGCTACAGTTTATTGAAATGTGGCCCATTTCATTGCAAACGAAACACGCTCCAGGTGTTCTTTTGGGCTTGCGACATTCAGGGGCCATATGTCCTTTGGAGTTACAGTTGAAGCATTTGACGACCATTTCTCGACTATTTGCGTTGGCTAAAGGCTCGATATTCTACTTGTTATCCATTTTGTGTGTGTAATCTGGTTTCAATTGTATGCTTTTGAAAGCATCAAGTAGTTCCGTTGTATTTTTAAACGTTGCATACGGGTTTGAGTACGTAGATTATAGTTTGGAATGCCATCAATTATATGCTCGAGTAACTCAATTTTGTCGACGTTTAATTTAGTTGATAATCTTAATTTTTCGTAAAAATATTCTTGGAAAGACTCATTAAGTTGCCAGGTCTTCTTTTCAAACTTACGTTTAAGTGATAGGAGACTTTCTCTGTTTTGAAAAACAGTTTCCATCTCATTGAGCAATTCGTTGATTGGGATTGTCATCAAATCGATTCGGATTTGTAACCATTTTACGGCTTTGCCTTTGAGACGGTTGGCGATGAGTGCACGTACGTTGTTTTCGTCCAAATTATACATAGATCGTACCGGAAAAATCTGCTGCTTGAACAATTGAATGTCTGTGTCACCTCCCATTGGATCAAATTCAGACACTAATTCCTTGAGTTGTGTAAAGGGAATGCTTTTGCATGATGCTGCACTGTTGTTGATCAATAATTGTAATATTTCGTTTTCGCGCATTGTGGCTTGTTGTTCTCGTTTTAATACCTCTATCTCCCTTAGCAATAAATCCTCTTTTTCAGATTTCGCTCTTACAATGTTATTATAGCCTGTACCCAAAGGGTGAAAGGCTATACTAGTTTTGTGCGCATGTATGTAACACACAGAAGGAGGCGTGGCAGACCCCACAAAGTATATATATTCTTGATCAGGATGAGAAGACGAGTCGATATAGCCATGTCCGTCTGACCGTCTGTCCGTCTGTCTGTATGAGCGCAAGGATCTCAGTAAGTACAAGAGCTAGGATAACCAAAATTGGTATCATGGTTCCTATAACCCCTAGGCAGAACGAGTTTGTTTATTTTTTCTGATACACCCCCCACTCCCCCGCAATTCGTATTTTTTCTTATAACTTCCGTAATTCTCGGAATTTAAAAATCAATTTTGGTAGGTACATCCAGTTAGTACTAATGTGTCCGTGTGCTAAATTTCATCATTATAGGTCAATTCTGAAGAAAGTTATAGCCATAAGTAAAATCGCTGCTCATGCGCTGCCTCTGTCGGCAGCGCTGCCCGCAGCTGTTGTTGTTGTTGCTGCTTTGGTTTAACTTTGTGCTGCATACATACACGCATATAAACACGCATAGGTACGTGATGTAAATGTATGCTGTTTAATCTGAACATAAACATGTATTCTAATTTAATTTAATTAATTATTTTAATTAATTCATTCATTCATTTTTTATAGCCTGTACCCAAAGGGTGAAAGGCTATACTAGTTTTGTGCGCATGTATGTAACACACAGAAGGAGGCATGGCAGACCCCACAAAGTATATATATTCTTGATCAGGATGAGAAGCCGAGTCGATATAGCCTTGTCCGTCCGTCCGTCTGTCCGTCTGTCTGTCCGTCTGTCCGTATGAACGCAAGGATCTCAGAAAGTATAAGAGCTAGAATAACCAAACTTGGTTTCCATATTCTCCTAAGACCGAGAAAGTACGAGTTTGAGTTTTTTTTCGATGCACCCCCCCACTCCCCCGCAATTCGTGTTTTTTCTTATAACTTCCGTAATTCTCGGAATTTTGAAATCAATTTTGGTAGGTACATCCAGTTAGTACTAATGTGTCCGTATGCTAAATTTCATCATGATAGGTCAATTCTGAAGAAAGTTATAGCCATAAGTAAAATCGCTGCTCATGCGCTGCCTCTGTCGGCAGCGCTGCCCGCAGCTGTTGTTGTTGTTGCTGCTTTGGTTCAACTTTGTGCTGCATACATACACGCATATAAACACGCATAGGTACGTGATGTAAATGTATGCTGTTAAAACTGAACATAAACATGTATTCTCATTTAATTTAATTAATTAATTCATTCATTCATTTTTTTTAATAATTTAATTTTTTTTTTTAATTTTTTTTTTTTTAATTTTTCTTTTTTGTTGAGAGTACAGGCTATTTTACTGTCGGGCTTGCTCGACTGTAGCGTTCTATCTTGTTTTAATTTTCTTTTAAATTTTTTTTTTTTTTTTTAATTTTTCCTTTTTGTGGAGAGTACAGGCTATTTTACTGTCGGGCTTGCTCGACTGTAGCGTTCTATCTTGTTTTTATATAGTTCATTGTACTTTTGACTTTTTTCCATAATTTCTCTAGCCTTGGACCTACTTTCAATAAGATTTCTATTTTGTTTTCTGTCGTCTAGCTGTTCTTTTAAGAAGTCTATGATAATTCCTCTTTGACTTACTCCGAATAATAACTCACTTGGGGTGGTGCCCGTGCTTTTGTGCAAAGTGTTGTTTAAGGCAAACTCTATTTCTGGAAGTATATTATCTAATGATTTTGTGGTTCCAGCACTTGTTAATTTAGCCAACATTGGTCCTAAACATTTATTTATACGTTCCACTTGTCCATTCGCTTGTGGAGAACCTGTTGCTACTTTTATGTGGTTTACGTTGTTAGCCAATAAAAATTCTTCGAAATCCTTTGAAGTGAATGCACTTCCACGGTCAGAAACCATAGTCTTGGGTCTGCTATATGCTTTGAAATAATCGGATAAATGTTAAATTGTACTTTTAGAGTCCGTAGATTTTGTTTCATACAGTTTAACAAACTTCGAAAAGGCATCCACTGCTAGTTGTACATGTCTTTTTTGTCCTTTTTGTGTTTTTATGGGAACTTTGTTATTGCATTGTATACTTTTTCACACTCTCTGTGTCCCATTTGGTCATGATAAAGTGTTAAAATGTTTCGTTCCATATTATTAGGTACATAAAATAGTATTCTGCCTTTGAATTTGCGGAAAATTAGTCCGTTTCTCATTTCATACAGATTGCTTTCTTTTTCTTCTAATTGTTTGCGTATGTTGCATATAACCGTGTCCTCGTTTTGACAAATGGAAAGATTTTGTTCAAACGTATTCTCTTTTATTTATTCTCTTTATTTTATTACTCCAATGATTATAAGTTTACTTTTATTTATTCCGTAATAATTTTGAACAAAAGAATAGTCTTCAATAAGTTTCTTGGGTACCTTCTCCTCACATATTAAACTGATAGGGCTTCCAGTGTCAATTAGTGTTTCTAAAGGGTGTTTAATGATGTCATTAGTATTGTTGATAAATAAGTACTCTATAAGTCTTACATACTTTGTTGCTGGTTTTCATATTTTCTCGTAGTTCCAAGTCGTTGCGTTTGCTACAGTTTATTGAAATGTGGCCCATTTCATTGCAAACGAAACACGCTCCAGGTGTTCTTTTGGGCTTGCGACATTCAGGGGCCATATGTCCTTTGGAGTTACAGTTGAGGCATTTGACGACCATTTCACGACTATTTGCGTTGGCTAAAGGCTCGATATTCTACTTGTTATCCATCTTGTGTGTGTAATCTGGTTTCAATTGTATGCTTTTGAAAGCATCAAGTAGTTCCGTTGTATTTTTAAAACGTTGCATACGGGTTTGAGTACGTAGATTATAGTTTGGAATGCCATCAATTATATGCTCGAGTAACTCAATTTTGTCGACGTTTAATTTAGTTGATAATCTTAATTTTTCGTAAAAATATTCTTGGAAAGACTCATTAAGTTGCCAGGTCTTCTTTTCAAACTTACGTTTAAGTGATAGGAGACTTTCTCTGTTTTGAAAAACAGTTTCCATCTCATTGAGCAATTCGTTGATTGGGATTGTCATCAAATCGATTCGGATTTGTAACCATTTTACGGGCTTTGCCTTGAGACGGTTGGCGATGAGTGCACGTACGTTGTTTCGATTCGGATTGTAACCATTTTACGGCTTTGCCTTTGAGACGGTTGGCGATGAGTGCACGTACGTTGTTTTCGTCCAAATTATACATAGATCGTACCGGAAAAATCTGCTGCTTGAACAATTGAAATGTCTGTGTCACCTCCCATTGGATCAAATTCAGACACTAATTCCTTGAGTTGTGTAAAGGGAATGCTTTTGCATGATGCTGCAACTGTTGTTGATCAATAATTGTAATATTTCGTTTTCGCGCATTGTGGCTTGTTGTTCTCGTTTTAATACCTCTATCTCCCTTAGCAATAAATCCTCTTTTTCAGATTTCGCTCTTACAATGTTATTATAGCCTGTACCCAAAGGGTGAAAGGCTATACTAGTTTTTGTGCGCATGTATGTAACACACAGAAGGAGGCGTGGCAGACCCCACAAAGTATATATATTCTTGATCAGATGAGAAGACGAGTCGATATAGCCATGTCCGTCTGACCGTCTGTCCGTCTGTCTGTATGAGCGCAAGGATCTCAGTAAGTACAAGAGCTAGGATAACCAAAATTGGTCGTAAAAATATTCTTGGAAAGACTCATTAAGTTGCCAGGTCTTCTTTTCAAACTTACGTTTAAGTGATAGGAGACTTTCTCTGTTTTGAAAAACAGTTTCCATCTCATTGAGCAATTCGTTGATTGGGATTGTCATCAAATCGATTCGGATTTGTAACCATTTTACGGCTTTGCCTTGAGACGGTTGGCGATGAGTGCACGTACGTTGTTTCGATTCGGATTTGTAACCATTTTACGGCTTTGCCTTTGAGACGGTTGGCGATGAGTGCACGTACGTTTTTTCGTCCAAATTATACATAGATCGTACCGGAAAAAATCTGCTGCTTGAACAATTGAATGTCTGTGTCACCTCCCATTGGATCAAATTCAGACACTAATTCCTTGAGTTGTGTAAAGGGAATGCTTTTGCATGATGCTGCACTGTTGTTGATCAATAATTGTAATATTTCGTTTTCGCGCATTGTGGCTTGTTGTTCTCGTTTTAATACCTCTATCTCCCTTAGCAATAAATCCTCTTTTTCAGATTTCGCTCTTACAATGTTATTATAGCCTGTACCCAAAGGGTGAAAGGCTATACTAGTTTTGTGCGCATGTATGTAACAC